CATCGGCGTGTTCTTTTGCAGCGTCTTTGCGGCAAGTCGTCGGGTGCAACGCCATGCTGCATTACTGCTGCCACGACACTGCTGGCGTACGTGGGCTGTCGTGACACGAAGTCCACTCTAGCGACCACTGACCCGCCGCATACTGTACACCGACTAAGAGAAAAGACTAAGAATGAAGAGTGCAAATATCCTAGGGTGCTATTAATTAGTCGAAAGGCCGGTCGCTTAGGCGACGACGGGCGCGGCTTCCGGCGTCTTCTCGACAACAACCTTCTTTTCTTCGTCGGCAGCGGCCACGACGACGGGCTTCTTCTCCTCGACGACGGGCTCGGCCGTGACGTCGATCGGGGCTTCGACCGGCGCGACGACCTCCTTGGGGGCAGCAACCTCCGGGACGACTTCGGGCACAGGCGCGACCTCCTCCGTCTTGGGCGCTTCCTCAGCAACGACTTCCGTGGCAGCGACAGCCTCCGTGGCAGCGACAGCCTCCGTGGCAGCGACGACTTCCGTGGCAGCGACGACTTCCGTGGCCGGGGCAGCCTCGACGACGGGCTCGGGCGCCGGCGTCAAGAACACAATGACGCGGTCCGACGCGCCCTTGGCGGCAGCGACGTTGAGGATGTCTTCGAAGCGCGCAATGCGCTCCTGGATGAGCTTCTCGTCCGTGCGCTTGAACACCGTGGAGAAGCCAGCGACCGGAAGAGCGGGAAGGCCCGAGACGTCGGCGAGCGTCGCGTGGAGGACCTTGAAGTCGTTGAAGCGCTTCGTGATCGAGAGGCCTTCGCCCGAGATGTGGTACACGACGACCTTGGCCTCGACCGACGTCGACGCGATCGTAAACTTCTTCTCGATGATTTCTTCTTCGACCTTGGCCTCGACGACGGGCTCTTCAGGCGTCTCCTTGACCTCGGCGACTTCGGTGGCAGCGACCTCGGTCGTGACTTCGGTGGCGGCGACTTCCGTGGCCGGGACGTCGGCGACGACGGGCTCGGTCGTGGCGGCGGCGGTGGTCGATTGCGTGCAACCCATGGTTCGAGTGGTGCTGGAGAGGTAAAAGTTAAAGTGAGCAGCTCAGTGGCAGTCGCGCGAGCGTGGGGTCCAGAGAACTGGCACGGTTACTGCCTGGGACTTTACACCGCGTGTCACCACGTGGCGCGCCCATCATAGTGTCCCAAGCTTGCTTCAAGAAGTGACCGAGCCTTCTCTTCTCGCCGCGATGACGACGGAATCTGGAACAGAGAACGGCCAGGACGGACCCAGACACTGGTGCACGGTCGCTCCACGTTGTTTGATCGGAGGCGAACGACGAGGCGGCGCTGTGCAACTGCAGGCGCCGCAAGCGACGGGAGACCGCGACACCAAGAGATGTCCCAGGCGCCCTGTCGGGTTGTCGTCGATCTTCCGACGGCGCTGCGATTGCGCGATACCAGCTGGCGGCGCAATTCGTTGAACCATCGCGCCGAGTTCAACGAATTGGCGATGATTCAAAAATGCATGGTCTCCGTCCTTCTACCGAGCGTCAAAGAGTAGCTGCATATTCCAGAAGGCGAGGATCGGCCTTGTCCCATTGGCACCCACGTCGCCACGATACACTGCAGTGCACCCGCTCGGCCCATCCAGCTTTCACGGCACACACAACGTGCTACAGGGCAACACAAAGCGCACCGATACCGGTAGTCGAGTACCAAGGAGTCTACCGTAAGAGACGTCGAGGAGGTTGGTTATCATGTACTAACCGTGCGTTGCATGCAAGGTAAGAACGTTGCGGCGACACCGTCGCCAGAGGTGTGGTGTCGACGAGTTACTCTCGCGATACCAACGACGAACGCGCCATTACCCTTCTCGTCGGCAGCGGTACCGGTCGTACACCATTACAAGATCGCCACGTGATGGCCGCCGTGTCATATACTGTGTGGTAGCGGAACGCTCAATGCAAAATGCAAAATTCAAAAATGGTGAAAACACAGTCAAATTGATGCGATTGCCGTTGTTATCAACACGCGCGTTGGCATGTCAGTAGTGTACAAGAAGAAATATAAAGACACAACCGCTTACGCAGCGACCGGCTTGGGGGCCGCGTCGTCCGCGACGACCTTGGCCTCCTCCACCGCCGGCACGTCTTCGACCACGACCTCGGCGACCGGCGCCTCGACAGCGGCCTCCACGGCAGCAACGTCTTCAGAAACGACGACGTCCTCGACGGCGGCAGCGACTTCTTCCTCGACAGCGACAACCGCTTCGACCTCAACGGCAGCGACCTCGTCGGCAACAGCGGCGACCTCGACCTCGGCCTCGGCCTCGACGACCGCCACTTCGGCAACCTCGGCGACTTCGGCGTCGACGACGGGTTCCTGCACCGGCGCTTCGTCGACAGCAACGACGTTGATTTCTTCGACGATCGTAATGTCCTTGGTGGCGACGTCGTCCGTAACGGCGGCAACGACAAACTGCTCGAGGCGGTCGGCGGCGTGGGCCGCGGCAGCGTCCAGAATTTCCTGGAAGCGCGCCGAACGCTCCTTGATAAGCTTTTCGTCACGCCGCTTAAAGACCGTGGCGAGGCCCGAGTCGGGGAGCGCCGGTACAGTCTCGATCACGGTCGTGAGCTCGCTGTGGAAGACCTTGAAGTCGTTGAAGCGCTTCTTGGCGACAACACCGTCGGTCTCAATGTGGTACAAGACAACGCCGTTGCCGTCGACCGACGTCGACGAGATGACGTACGACGTCGTCGTCGTCGTCACGACAACATCGTCGCTGGCGGCATCGACAGGCGCCGAGGTCGACGGCGGCGCCACCGAGACGCTCTTGACGGTCGCGATCTGGACGTTCTCGTCGATCGTGGAGGATTGCGTGCAGCCCATGGTAGTAGTAGTGGGGGAGTGGCGAGTTAGAAAATGAGTCGAGCGCTGTCGAGAACCAAAGATCGATAGAAGCGGGGACTGCGCTCTGCTTCTATATACACGGTGAGTAATTGACGGGTCGCAGGTGCTTGGCCAATCAAAACGCGCGTACGAGCAACATCGTTGCATGAAACGTTGAAGCGGGTCAAAAGATCGAAGGAGAGACTGCCACGTGGTGGTCCGGCCTCTCACTTCAAAAAGTAGACTAGAGGGAATGCCTTGGCGTCCTCCTCGCGACGACTTGCGCGTCCATGAACAAAGCCCATCAACGAAGCCTATATGCCCAGTGCACTCGCCTCCAACCTCGGTTTCGGCGGCAGGGAGCATCGATTTCCGCACGCGCATGGCTTGGAAGTAGAAGAATGGGTCAACGATTAACGAGGCAGTTGTGTGATGAGCATGAAGGCTGCATCTAGCAGCTCATCTAGCGATGTAGTCAAATACTGCTGTTTGGTAGTCATTGACTTCCCCCTTCGGAAGACTTTACACGCAGTGTTACACACTGCCGCGAGCTTTTTTGGGGACCAAACGGTCGTCGCCAGCCGGTGCGCGCACGAATCTTTCGTGGCGCGGCATCTCAAGATTCCAGGCGACAATGGGGTGCACTTCGTCGCGAGCCGTTGACGACTTGTCCGTCGTCGCAGTGGCCGCATCCGAGACCGCTGCGGCCGGCGAGGTTGCCACGCCCGAGTTGGCTGTCACATGCAGAGACGTCACCGAGGAGGCGGCTTCCGACAAGAAGTTTGTCATCACGGGGCACAGCGTTCGAAACGATGGTGTGGTCGTCTACCATATCTCGATGCCCAACTCGCCCGATGAGATTCAACGAAGGTTCCGCGACTTCAAGCGCCTCCATGGCGAGCTCAAGGACGTCGTTCTGCAAGAAGACTGTGACGTTGCGATTCCCGACTTGCCGTACAATGGACTGTTGACCAAGCTCCAGCGCCAGCACACGCGCGACCTAGACGAGCGAAAAGAAAAGCTGGGCGAGCTTCTCGAAGCCGCAGCGAGCCACCCTGTCACCCGCAATTCCAAGGGGTTTCAAAAGTTCATCACGCTCGACATGGCCCCGTAGCTCTGTCGAATTCAACGATTTCGCGTAGTTTGCAGACATACACACCATATAATTTACATGACGAGTCAGTTGGCTGGAGATGGCGACGTCTTGCGTCCAGTCGGTAAACATCGCGGAAAGATGCCCACGACACGGCTTGGTATCTTCACGCACAGGAGGTAGTCGTGCATCAACGATTGTTCTGCGTGCAGTGCGAGTGCCACGTATCACGATTGGATGCCGAAATTTTGGCGCGTAAAAAACGGTCTAAAGATTACCAAGGAAGCTTGAAGTCAAGAAAGCGAGCTGCAGCTGCGTGATGGCGGAGAGGACTGAGAAGACGAAAGGTCAACGGAGCTTCGTTCGTAGGAAGGTCTGCCAGTCAAACCAAAAGACTCTTGCTGACGTCCAAACTCGGATGGCTCATTGCTGTTGAAATCGTATTGTAGACCGATGCCACTCATCCTGAATGAAATAAACACAAATTAGTGTTTCGTTGTGATCTGTTTGGTTGTTGTTGAAATGAGTCTTTCGAATTTTACGGATTAAGGGTCCTATTTCTAGGGTCGTCCGGCCTCCAACCTAATTTCCGGTAGGCACGAATTTCCGGCATATGCCGTTTTCATCTACTTCTTCCTTGTGTTCCTTGTGGCACTATCTGTTTGGTTGTTGGTCGTCAGTTGTAGACAGCGGTGGCTATATTACGCCTTGGTCAGCAACGATTTCTGGTGCTTCCCGTCATTTAGAAGCGACTTGATGATTGGGTGGCAATTGCCAATGAGAGTGCGCATACGGCGCGTGTCGTTCTGTGATAGCTTTCCCAACGTGTCATCGGTAAGCTGAGTCTCAAGTTGAGACTCAACTACCGGTACCCAGACGTCGTGCCCCGTTCTGGTATATGCGTCGGGGTCTTCAACAAACTTCCCGTATACTAGTACTGATATAAGCCGTAAAGAAGTAATAACGTTCTAATTCCAAAGGGATGGGAAGGTCAATGCTTTCCTTTTACTGCGACGGCTTGGGGCGCAGCGATTGCACAGACGCGAGGAGCATGCTTCCCAGGATCACGGCGAATGCCAAATACGTGCTCGTGACATCAAAAAGGCAACCTACACGCAGCGAGATGCGTTAGCACGGGTTACGACAACACGGGCGTACCGTAGGGCGGGTGTCCTGGCGCTGTGTTGCGAAAGATTGGGACGGCAATCAAGCCCGAAAAGTACACCATGGGGTTCTCCACGGGGCGTCGACCCCAAACCATCGTCATGCTACGTCTGCCGTGTCGAACCCATCGCATTTATCGAATCAATGTACCTTGCAATGTACAAAAGCGAGCCCGACACGACCCAAATACCGAGCCAGAGGACGACAATATAGCTAAAGATTATCGGGTGACGGTGCGCTTCAACGGTCACGAGCCTACGTATTCGACAGGTCAACATCGTCCTTGGTCGTCACTCGATATGTGGACGCACCCTGGCGGCGGTGTACGGGTGGTGAATGGCACACCAAGGGTTCTTGCTGCAGCAACAGAGTATCTATCACCGGCGTCAGGCTGACGGCAACAGTTGTACTAGTTGCTTGATACCGCCAGTTGAAGTCCGCATTCTGGTAGACCGACAGGTGTACGGGAAGATTATCCGAATGTGTGCTTGCATTCGTGGATGACGCGCCATTGGCGGCGATGTACAGTGGGGTCGAGTACCTACTCCATCGAGTCCGTTGGGTTTTGGAGGATAGGTTCGTCTCGACCGCTACCGATCCAGCGGGAACATGACGACGGAACCCGACTTGAGGCGCAGCTACGCAAACACTATGAACAAGGTCGAATCGAAGAACGCAACAAAAGCAACCTTGAGAGGAATGGGCGACCAAAGGTCGGTTGTCTCGGGGGCCAAGACTATGGCGTGGCCATCAACAAGCAGGTTGATTGTCGTCGACAGCTACCACAGACAATGAAAGAAGAGATGACAACCATAAATGCATACCTTGCGGATCCCATTGACAGTAGTACCCACAGTACTAGGGATACTGTCGATATAAATCAGCGTGGCGAGCTCTAGAGTTCTCTCAACATAAGCAAAAACGAAGTCGCCAAAGGGTACCATTGGCATCCGTGTCGACACCTCCGAGGACGATGGACACGGAGAGAACGGACGACGGGTCCTTCGGTGATATGCCTTCATATAGCAGTGTTGCCTGGGCCTCTAATGTTGCCAATGATCGTGGTGAGATGAAGTTTCCAATGACGTCACGGGTACGGCTCGTGTGGACGTGCAACAGAGGCAGCAAGGTTGCGAGAAGGAGCGCAAAGAGAGCTGTGAGAGGCGCCGCTCGTAGAAGCCACCGGCGGCGCGAGGTGAGGGCCGGCGGCTTGGTTTGCAGCGGCTCCAGGAACGGATGCTCCGACTCCGCGCCCATGATCTTGCTGGAATTCCTGAAAATGCTGTCGCAAGAATTCCATTGCTCCAAAAACATGTGACAAACGCGGCACGAAGCCTAAGCTTCCTGTCACCTTCTAAACCTAGGAAACTGGTTGACTGCATGCTCTAGAAGCTGTGCTAAACGTAAAATAGTTAGGCTTACCTAGCTTGACCTTAATATCTAAAATGTAAATTTTACTTTAGCCTACGGATTAATGACAACTTGAGATTAGTTATGGCAATCGATCTGACTAATCGACGTGACCAAGCGACACAACAAAATGAGCTGGATTCGTCACGATCTTTTGGCAGCTCTTTGGCGCAGCGTACAAA